TTACTGCCAGGGTGAGGAATGCGAGTTGTTTGATGAAGCAATGGCTTCTGACAAAAAAAAAAAAAAAGTTTGCCTTGCCTCCTACTTTATGGCAAAATCTTTCCACCTCTGGCTTTTCTGCCTGAGCCGGTGCAGCGCCGACGGTCCAGCTGTGACCCTGCAGGGAGCTGCTGCTCGGACCTCGGGCTGGTCTGTACGGCCTGAGCTCAAACCACGCCAGGTGACAAAGCTGTGGCCTGAGTCCTGCAGCCTCAGCAGGGCAGGGTGGCCAAAGGGCCCCCTGATGCCCCTCAAGGCTGAGTGACACCTCCCAGGAGCACAGATGTCCCAGCTCAGGTTCAAACACAGCTGCACACCAGCGTGCCAGTGGTGACAGGATGGGCATGGATTAACCCTCTCAGCCCTGTGGGATGGCCTGAACTCCAGCTGAGATCCTCAGCTTTTGGGAATGACGGCTAAATGAGCTAACCTGTGCTGGGAAACATGCTCCTGCTCTTCGGTGACAGCTTGCTCTGGTGGCACTGTGGTGCTGGTGACCATCTGAAATGCAGAAATATTTCCTTTTAGGAGACGCCTCTTGATTTCCTCTTGCTGGATGTGCTAGACTCGGACTGCAGCCAAGGACCAGTAAGAGAAGATGGGTGAGAGGGCTGCAAATGCCCCAGGCCAGGCTGCTCTGGCTTCTGAGCATCCTCACACTATGGGGAGTTATTACCACATTACTCTACTTTAATAATAATCTATTACACTTCAAACATATGAAATAAAGCAGGGCACTGAACATCAAGCTGCCTGAATAAGGATTTTATGTTTTTGGAGTTTTTTTATTTTAGGAAATCCTTGGACATCAATGGGCAAACTGAGGGAGTCAGATGCTACAAAGAGAAGACAAGAGAGGAGGCCCAGCTCCAGGCCCCCTCTTAGCCCTGCAATGAGCAGTCCAGGACAGCTGGCACTAATTGGCACTTTCCTTGGCGGCAGATGAAGTGTGGAGGAGACAATGGGGCCTGGGCTGGCTCCTCGTGCCTGGAGGTGATCCTCAGTGCTGAGACCAAAGATCACTGAGAGCACAGCGAGGAGAAGCTGCAGCACTCAGGGAAGAAAAGCCTGAGTCTGGAGTGCCAGTCCACATGCACAGGATGTGTGCCCACCAGCAGGGCACACGGTGGCAAGCCCAGGGGCACACGTGAAGAGACAGCAGAGCTGCTGGCCACTGAGCACCAGTGGTGTGGCAAAGCCCATGGTCACATCGGCTGGCCACGAGCTGCTGGTGGCTCCAGTGAAACACTCAGCATCAGGCTTCCTGTGCCTCCCTGGGAGCTCACAGCAGGAGGGGAAAGGGCTTATGGAAAGCTCTGTGCAGTGGTGGCGTTGCTTCAGCCAGACTGGGAAGAAATGTAAAGCCGTGACACCTGGAGCACAAACAGGCAGCTAGAAAGGACAAGCAAGAGCAGGAAACTTCTTCATAACAGGACATCACTTGGCAAGGAGGGATAAAGGAAACATAATTTCTTTTTAAGAAATGAAATTATCATGTAACTTCTGGATTGTATTATAACTGGGATTTTTGTATGGATGAGCAGTAATTCCATCAGCACCACACTTTTTTTTGGTGAGAAGTATATTTATTATCTATTGGCAGCTCGGAGACACCATTTCCTTTTGAACTTCGTGAACAAATTCAAATAGGGAGGGGGAGAAAAACCATCCCCACTTTTCAAAAGCTTCTCCATGGTCAAAGGGGCCCTGAGCTTAAGCTGCACTGAGGCTCTGAGCCAGCTGCAGCAGCATCCCAGCAGTGTGACATCTGAACCCCTGTGTTTAGGATTAGCACACAGGTTCTCCGAAACTAAAGATACTTTTTTAATTATTTCATGAAACGCAAGCCAAGTAAACGCAATGATGCTCTCCTTGTTTGTCCCCTGGAGTGGGAACACACAGTTTAGGCTTTGGTGCCTTCCCTTGTTCCTCAGCACAATCAGGAGAAGCAGCTGAAGACTTGGAAGCTCCAAGGACGAAGTGGAGCTCTCAGGCAGTAACCAGAGCTGAGCTGAGGGAAAACAGCTGTGAGCTGGACACCAGCAGTGTCCAGTGCTGTCCTCAGTGAGTGATGGGAGAGGTGGTCCTTCACCTCAGGAGGTCCTCAGCCCTGCCAGGGCTGGGATTTGTCCCCACTCCAGCGCTGCCTGGTGTGGTCGTGCAGTTCTGCTGCAGCTGGAGAAATGAGCCTCGTGGGGAAGAGGAGGTGGGGAGGGAGAGGAGCTCGGCAGCCCGGCAGGATAACGAGCTCACAGAATGCAAATGCACGTTTGAGCTGGAGCTCCCACACAGCCACAGCCTCCTGGCAGCGCCCAGACACACACAGACATGTGGAGTCACAGAATCATTGAATAATTCGGGGTGGGAGGCAGCTTTAAAGGTCATCCAGCCCAACCTCCCTGCAGTGAGGAGGGACATCTTCAACCAGATCAGGTTGCTCAGAGCCCTGTCCAACCTGACCTTGAACATTTCTGAAGGTGGGGCATCCACTGCCTCTTCGGGCAGCCTATTCCTATGTAAAACACCCTCACTGCGAAATAAGTTCTTCCTTATATCTAATCTAAATTGACCCTCTTCTAGTTTAAAACCATTACCCCTTGTCCTGTTGCTACAGGTCCTGCTGAAAGTCTGCCCCTATCTTTCTTATTAAACCCCCTTTAAATGCTGAAAAAGCAGCAATGAGGTCACCCCAAAACCTTCTTTTCCCCAGGCTGAACAATCCCAATTGTTCCCTCAGCCTTTCCTCCCAGCAGAGCTGCTCCATCCCTCTGATGCCCTTGGTGTCCCTGCTGTGGCCTGGCTGCAGCAGCTCCCTGTCCTTCCTGGGGGGCTCAGCAGAGCCGGGCAGAGGGGCAGAATCCCCCTCCCCTGCTGCCCTGGGGCTCTGGGTGCAGCCCAGCACAGGGTGGGAGTCTGGGGGCCTGTGCACATTGCTGGCCCTCCAGCCCCAGAAGCTGATGTCCGCCTTGCATTGATTTTCTCAGGGCTAGATCCTGCTTTCACACATCTTTGCACCTCCCTTTGCAGGCTGGAGAAAGGATTTTTGGCAATTCCATGACTGGTGTGTGCCTCCAGAGTAGAGCCCAGGAGCAGCCCAGCAGCAGGATCTGGCCTGGGCTACACTCAGCTTTACGCTGAACTCTCGTTTCCACCTCTCTGGGCATCTCTGAGGATTTTCCTGTAATTTTCCTGTCTATGCCATTGACTTAGACAATAGTGTAATTGAGCTTCAAACTTAATTACAGTATGGGAACAAGCTGTCACTTGATTGAAGACACTTCTTGATTATTTATTGAAATAAGTAATCTTACCTGACTCTGCAACTTTACGTGTAGTGACTAGACATTGAGATATTTTTTATGGCTCTGTTGATATCCTTTCTGTCAGGTGCAGCACTTCAATAAAACACCAAGCTCTAGCTTCCAAAATGCTCCCAGAGACTCTCCTTCCTCTAAATTTCCATCAGTGGTAGTTTAGAGAAAGAAGAGACCAGAGAGGGATTCTCTCTGATCCCTCAATTCAAGTCCTTCCTAGCTCCCACCCAGCTGATCCTGCTGCCAGGCTGCCTCTTCCACTGAGACCAGGGGATGCTGGGCAGGCAGGATTTGCTGTGGCTGCAGAGTCATGCCCTGGGCAAGAAATGTCTCAAATTAAAGGATTGATAGGATGAGGCAGGGAGTTCAACCTAGTTTACAGGGATATTTGGGCCTTCCAAACAGGCATTGTGTGCACAAGCTCATGCTGGGAAGCTGAAGTGGCTGAAGATGCTCTGGGGCTCAGGCTGTTGTTAAGGGAGCTCATTTGCCTCTCCAAGAAGTACTGAGCAGCATCATTTATTCCAGAGCTGTTTTCCTGGAATTCCTCTGTGGGACCATCTCACCTCTAAGAAGTGATTCATTCCTTCCAGCCTTTACAGTTACCCTCTGTAATGATCAATGTCTTGGGCATTTGGTTTTAGAACAATAGTTTTTAGAGAGCAGTTCTTCCCTGCTGTGACTTCACAATCTGAAATCCATCCTTTGCCAGCTGTTCCAAGCCCCCCAAAAAATGCATCTGGACCCACAGAAAGTTGAACTCCAGGTTCAAAATGAAAACCTGGTTCTCACCTGCCGGGAGGTTGCTACCTGAGACCACCTCAGACTTCAGAAACACTTGAACTTCTGCCAAAATTCATAATCAGTGCCCATTTATATTTTGCTGGAGTTGTTTCCTACCAGAAATCCTGGGTTTATGACCAGAGACATAAATTTTAAAGCTGATGCTTATTTTATAATCCCAACCTGGTGATTTTTTTTGTACCCGCTTAGTTATGGGTGAATCACACACCTTTGCTGATGCACTCACACCACTTTCCTCGCAGATGTATCAGCTGTAGGTGTGTCAGAGAGAGAAAACCTTCTCTTGTTGGTACCTGAGCCTGAAGCACAGTATGTTTCAGTTCTCCTGCTTATGTTTCAGTGAATTCCACTCTCAAAATGGAAACGTGGGAGTCCTGGTTCCTGACTGCCAGGTTACAATGTGCAGAAAAGTTACAAGAGTGGGATGCACACCCTGAGTGGCTCAGTGACCCTCCTGTCCACCAAGGCAAGGGGGTGTGTGAGCAAAGCTATATCCAGACAGGGTTCTGCCATCTCCTCTTCCTACAAACTCAAACACAACCTCAGATCCCAGCTTTCCTTCTGCTGTCCTTGTTATTCCCTTTTGGGTCTGGGTGACTGTTCAAAGAATATCCTCTCTTGTCCGTCCAAGGGGCCAAACATTTTTAAGCTTTATGTAGGCAAAGATTTCCTGTCACATTCATGAACTGAGGCAAACAGACAAGCCTTATGAAGAAGAACCAGGATGGTTTCTGTCCCATTAAGGGAATTTATGAGAAACTCGGTACAGTTTTAGAAAAGAAAAAAAAAAAAAAAGTGTTTGCTTAGATGATGGACGTCTGTTGAATATTAATCTTTTCTGGGTGTATCGCATCCTTTCTTAAAGAAAGCCTAAATTATTCAGGAGTATTTGCATGCTGAGATATGGCAAATTTACAGGCAGTACAAATCAGACTTTTGCATCTTTATATGAAAGGAAAGCAAGTCCCAAATTTGGCTTCTTAATACTTTATTGGCCATCTCCTGCTAAGTAAAATAATGAAGCTGCTGACTAAGACACAAGGTATATCATGCTGGAACAATGGCCACTTTAATCCTTATACACAGCATCGGCAAAATAACTGTGAGATGCCACAAATCCATGTGTTAGGTTACTCTTTTTATCCATTTGCTGTTTTGCAGGAACGTAACCGGTGACAAACAGCAGGCACGCAGCAGCCTCTGCCCCAGGGAGGTGACGATCTGTGAGGGTTGGGGAGGTTAGTGGCGACCAGAGCTGTCCTGGGGGGTGTCCCCCACTTTGTCCCCCTCTGCCCAGGACAGCGATCCCTCAGGCTGCGCTGGCCGCTGTCCCCACTGCCACCGCGGCGCTCGCAGGGAAGCGCCAGCCTTATTTATGTAACAGCTGCTGTTTTTAGGTGCTGTCACTCACACGTTTGCTGGAAAACATGGTACTTGAAGAGCTGCTACACTAGTACAGCATATGCCGGAGGCAAAACTATATATATATTAAAAAAAAAAAAAAAAAAAAAAAAAATCCTTGTGAAAAAAGAATTAGAGCAGGATTATCGCAGCGTGTCAGCCTCCCATCCGCAGCCCAGCCGGTGCAGCGCCGCACCAGGGCCACATTTTGGAAATGCTGTGCTGCCTGGGTTCCAAGGCTTTATGGATGGAATTGGTTTTATTTTATTTCTCCAGTCAGGATCACAGGAGATGCTCTTAGGTGATCCAAATTTCTGCTTTTGTTAGCAGCTCTAGGCTGGTGCCGGTGATCTCGTGTGGAGGAAGGAGCTGGGACTCAGCAGTCAGGCAAAAGCAGCCCCTGTCAGGCTGGGGCTGAGGGCACACTGCCTTCCTCTGCTGCCCTCCACCTACCTTAGGGTCACAGGTTTCTCCTCATGTTCAGCACAGGGAAAAAATTCTCTCAGGTGTACATGCAAATGCATGTGATGCGTTGAAATCCAGCACTGCCGGTCCTGAATGGAGATATCCACAAGGATTTCCATCAAAAGTCCTGCTCATGCAGTCATAAACTGTGATGCAAAAACAGAGCTGCTGGTGGAAAATGTCCCCTCAGACCATGGCAGTGTGTGACCTCCATGGATCTGAAGTATTTCAGTGATCTTGACTTATCATCAAAGCTTATCCTTCAGATTCCCATTGCTTGTTCTCAAAAGCTGATCTCTGCCACAATTTAAGGTTGTTTTAAAGCAGCTGCATCAATTTTCCTCTGTCCCCCAGTTTGTGTATGAGTGTGTATAGGCCCCCTGTGCTTCCTGGATGACTGGAAACCTCCCTGCTGGCTCCAGGGGACTTTCTTTGGCTCTCCCAGTAAACTGTCCTCCATGTCCTAACCAGTATCTCATGTTCCCCACCATTTCTTTTCCATCACACACACATTTAATACATACCCATGAGCAGATGAGTGTGAAAGAAGGGAGAAACCTGTAAGAAATTAAGGAAATAAACTGAATACAGAAGAATAGAACAGAACAGAATATTTCACTTGGAAGGGACCTACAATGACCATCCAGCCCAACAGCCTGAGCACTTCAGGGATGACAAAAGAGTGAGGCATGTTGTAAAGGGCATTGTCCAAATGCCTCTCAAACACACCCAGGGCACTGACCACCCCTTTTGGAAGTCTGTTCTGGTGTTTCCCCACCCTCTTGGTACAGAAATGCTTCCTAATGTCTAGTCTAAACCTCTCCTGCACAGCTCTGAACCATTCCCTTGTGTCCTATCCTTGGATACCTGGGAGAAGAAATAATCAAGCCCTCTTGCAGGGGAGATGACAGATGGATGCTTGGTGGTCTCCTGTGTACCTGGGCCACATCTTCTTTCAGCTTTGCCAGCTGCAGGTCCCTGTGTACACAGATGTGGGAGGAGGAGGGAAAGGGTGCGATGGATGGTACAAAATATCAAGGATCTGCCATGCGTCCTGCTTCCCACCTGGACCAGAGGAGCCAGGAGGGAATCCACCTAATGAAACACTTCAGCTATTGCATGGAGCAAGCAAGCATCGCCTCGGCCCCACAGCTCTCCTGTGTCCTTCAGGCCCTCCTCAGTGTGCCTGGCCAGGCTGGTGTAAATCAGAACCTCTCCCCCGAAAGCAGTGCAGTGACCTTGCAGCAGCTGTGAATTTGACGCGGCGTGCCGGCTTGCAGCTCACCCAGCTGTGTTTGATTTACGTCTGGAGCCACTTGGAACTTCGTCAGAGGAAGGAAGGAAAGGGCAGAAGCGGCTCAGGAGGGATGGCTTGAAAAATGCCCTCTGCTGGAAGGAGCCAAGCCCCACGGAAGGCAAACGGCTGGGACAGGAGGCAGGCACAGATTTTCTCCCTCTTCCCCTTGCCCTGATGATGCCAGGCTTCCTGCAACTACTGATTACGATGATTACAGCGTTTCTGGTGTGTGTATGTGTTTGTGCACACGTGTGCAGCGGTTTCTTGCTAAACCCCACTCGGTTGGACACTGCCAGATGGTACAAAAGCTTACCGGAATTTCATTTTCAAATAAACCACAGACTTGGATGAGCTAATGTTGTTCCACATAGAAAGCCACAAAATTCAACAAAGTGATGTTGTTTCAAGACGAGGACATGTCAAGTGAGGGAACCATCCGGTCGGCTCTGAAAGAGCTACACACTCCCCCTCCTGATTTTGGAGGCTGTTTATGTACAGATGCCGGGCATGTGGCACTGCAGCTCGGGTTAAACCTCTCCCCACAGCTGATGCCTGTGGAGCAGAGCCTTGGCAGAAGTGCTGCAGCAACCACATCTGCTCATAAGCCTTCCTGTTTTGTTTTAACCGCTCCTGGAAGGCTGCTGGCCCCCGAGGATCTCTTTCCCCACAAGGACAGGTACACCAGGATTGCTGAGGGACTTGGCTCCACGCAGATAACTTCACTGTCGCCAGGTGACCTCCTGTGACACTCAGCTCCTCCGACCCAGAGGCTTGGGGGTGTCCTGGGAACCAACCTGGGGCCAGTTGTCCATTTGATGTACAGCCCTGTGCTGTCTCAGCTTTGCCAGCAGCAGTGGCTCAGCAGTGGGGTGAGGACGAGCGGCTCGGACACCAAGGGATACCCCAGCAAAAGGACTTCAGCGCTGCAGTGGTTCCTACAGCCAAAAGCACATCTCCAGAGGTCTTCTCTCCCTCCTGTACCTCCAGGGTGAGGGTCACAAATCTGGCAGCAACAGAGGCTGAGCAGGGCAAGGATTCAAATCAGCCACAGGAAGAGAGCACCGCTCAAAGACCCACCTCACCCTGCACCACTGCCCCAAGCTGTCTGGCAGAACCCAGGTATGTAGTTTCTGTGCATTTAGTCCCAGACAGTCTAATGCTGGCATGAATAGTGCTGTGATTTAATAAAAAATTGGCAAAAGCCTTCCCTCCCCAGCGAGAGCCACCTCCAGCCTGTGGCCAGCGAATTAAGTCTTGGCCTGGCTTGAGGATGTGTGGCTGGGGAAAGTGAGCCTGCTGCTGGGGGCCAGCAGCCACAGCACAGCCTCCCACGGGATCCTGGCACAGGGCAAACCTGCAAAAAGGCTTCAGTGTTGTGACAGTGAGTGTTTGCAGCTCCCAAGCTGGAGGACCCAAAAGCACAGTGCTAAAGAGGAGCCAGGTCTCCAGCTCAGGAGAGGCAAATGGAGTCACCACCACTGCCCTGAAGAGACTCACCTGTGGTGGTGGCATTTTTCCATGTCCCAGCACTTCAAGAAGCACCCACAGCCATATTTGCCACAGTTAAGATTTAGTTTCCATTTAAAAATGCATTTACAATTGATGTCCTGCCGTGGAGACTTGAGCAAGCACTGGCTCAGCCTGAGGGATGCAGCACCTCTCTGCCTTGGGCTGAGGATCTCTCTCTGGCTGCTTTTCACGCCTGTTTTCAGCTGTTGCCATGCTGCCTATTTAGTTCAGTCTGTTGTTTCCAGGGATGTGGCCTTCCTGCTCCTGAGGAAGCATCCAAACCTCAGCAGAGAAAGCAAAGACATACAGTAAAGGCATTTTTTCCTTCTTAAACTCTCAAGCCTGCAGGATGGATTTTTGTTTCAATTGCTTCTTTATAAATAACTTTCTATTTCACACTCACCTGTTCATTTTCTGTCCTAGTTAGAATCAATATCACTGATAATTGTCTGTCAGAGCATTTATACATCACTGGAAGGCGACTAACGAGAGAAAGACTTTATCTATATTTTTTCAGACCACTTTCAGTAAATTAACCATCAAGAGATGGCAGATTGATGTAGACTAGGTCCTAATTTTTACCCACAAATAAATGCATTCTCAGAAGGAGAAGCAATCAGAGCCTTCCTGGTAGCTCTGACAGCCCCAGCAGGAGGGTCATCCTGTAGAGATGTGACCTCTCTTCCTGAACCATCCTGCCTGATGGATATCTGTCTTGCATCCCTGGCTGCCCTCAGACCCCTGCTTTGTGCCTCCCCCACCAGCCCTGCTCTCAGTAACTTGCCTCCCTAAGGATGTTCTTCTTTCCTCCTCATCCTTCACCCAGCATGAGTACTTTCATGGCTGAGCTTCTTATGTGACCCCTAATCTATGTTTGGAAAGTTTTCTTAATCAGTCAAAGTGACTTTGGCTGAATCTGCTGCTAAAAGGATGAATAAATACTTTGGGTCAAAATGTGTATTTTACTGGTGAGCTGTCCTGTATCTCCTTTTATTTCTTCCACCTTCCTGTTGCACTGGTGCAAAACAGCCTTGTGAGCTTCTTCATAGCTAGCAGTGGCCAATTTATTCCTCGTTTGTAGGACACCAAGTGCTCTGGACTGTCCAGTGTGGCACATTGTTTTTTTATAGCATGTGAGCTGCAGACACCTCAAACATTAACACACACAAACCCCTGGATAAATCCTTTTGCTGAAGCTTCTCCAAGCAGCTCCATGGGGTTGCCCAAGGGAGAGAATGAGCCAAGGTGCCCAGCTTGCTTTGGAGGCTGAAGAGCAGCAGCTGATGTTCAGCACCATGCAGCAGCCTCCCCTGCTCACCTGGAGGGCAGAGCAGTGCTGGTGGCCCCTGTGGCCTCTCCCCAGGATGCTCAGGACAAGCTTTTTGCCCAGCCCTGTCCTGCTGGAGCAGGAGGTGACAAACGAGCTGCAGGTCACTCGTGTCCTCTGTCACTCTTCATGGGGAGCACAGCCTTGCGCAAGGCAAGCGGTTGCACGATGCTCGGCGGCAAATAAATCATAAGAAATTCATCTATGAGGAATTTCTCCCGCTCCCTTCTTTGCAGAGTTACTGGGACTCTGTCCAACAAAATAACAACATTTTTGAAAGCAGAGGCAGTAATTTACAGTGGTGTAAATCAGAAGCACTGCCCCGAGCCCAGCGGGTTTGCCCCACAAGATTCGCGCGCTTGTTTGCAAACATGAAAACCATGGTCCCTGGCCAAAAGGTTTGCAGTTTGGGGAGGGAAAAGGCTGGGAGCAGGAGCACAGAGATGCCATGGCTCTCTGGGACCATGCTGGAGGTCAGTAGCAGAGCTGGGTTTGTGCTTCCCAGAGCTGTGCTCTGCTGTTAGCACACATGGACTTGTCCTGCCAGCTTCCAAACGACCCAAAGCACAGCTGGTGGTACCAAGATGTGACAGTCTGCTTGGGGTCTGGATCCCAGCACAGAGGCATTTGTCAAGTCTGAGAGCTTGGTCCATGATGGGCAAATCATTACCTCTCTCCTCTCCTCTCCTCTCCTCTCCTCTCCTCTCCTCTCC